GTGGAATCTGATGCAGGGCTTAATCTCAGGACCCTGAGATCATAACCTGAGCTGAAGTCAAGAGCCAGCCACTTAACTGACTGAGCCACCCAGGCGCCCCTAGTCCACTTACATTTAAAGTAATCATTGATAGTTAGGTATATTTTGCTATTTTGTTAATTGTTTTTAGAGTTCTTCTCTGTCCGTTTTTTCCTCTCTTCCCTTGTGATTTGATAACTTTCTTTAGTGTTATGCTTGGATTCTTTTTATTTTTTTGTGTATCTATTATACATTTTTGGTTTGTGGTTACCATGAGGTTCATATGTAACACCCTATGCATATAGCAGTCTATTTTAAAGTTAATGGTCACTTAAGTTTCGACATGTTCAAAAAGCACGTTTGCTATGTTTTTATTCCCCCCTCCATGTTTTATGTATTTGATGTCATATTTTACATCTTTTTAAATCTTTTGTATTGCTTAACTAATTAGTGTAGGTAGAAGTGATTTTCCTGCTGTTGTCTTTTTAACCTTCATACTGGCTTTGATTGATCCTGGTACCTTTACTGTTTGTTCACTTTCACCACTGAAATTCTTTCTTTCATAATTTTCTTTTTTTTTTTTTTTAAGATTTTTATTTACTTATTGAGAGAGAGAATGGTAGAGAGCGTGAGAGGGAAGAAGGTCAGAGGGAGAGGCAGACTCCCTGCTGAGCAGGGAGCCCGATGTGGGACTCGATCCTGGAACTCCAGGATCATGACCTGAACTGAAAGCAGCCGCTCAACCGACTGAGCCACCCAGGCACCCTCTTTCATAATTTTCTAAGTCCTAGTTACGGCCTCTTGTTTCTCGCTTAGAAAAGTCCCTTGAACATTTCTTGTAAGGCCAGTTTAGTGGTGACGGACACCTTTAACTTTTGTTTGTCTGGAGACCTCTTTATCTCTCCTTCAGTTCTGCATGGCAGCCTTACTGGGGAGAGTATTGGTTGTAGTTTTTTCCTTTCATCATTCTGAATACACTATACTGCTCCCTCTGACCTGCTGAAAAATCAGCTGGTAGCCTCAGGGGAGTGACCTCATCTATCGCTGTTTGCTTTTCTCTCCCCACTTTTAATTTTTGCCATTTTAATTATCACACGTCTTGGTGTGGACCTCTTTGGGTTCTTCTTATTTGGGGCTCTCTGTGCTTCCTGGACCTGGATGTCTGTTTCCTTCTCCAGGTTAGGGAAGTTTTCAGCTATTATTTCTCCAGTTAAGTTTTCTGCCCCTTACTCTCTGTTTTCCTTTTGGGACCCTTGTAATGTGAATACTAGTATGCTTATTGTCTCAGAAGTAAGTGTTCTTAATTAATTACATAATACTAGTAATTGTAGCTTAATTGGGGGAACCTTAGTATTAAGGTTTTGAAGGTAAATGGTGAGGTACCATTCGTTAGTGGCTGACTTATGTACCTACCAAATGGGGCCATTGAAAGCTGAGGCTATAGGCTTAATGACTCCATCTCAACATCTTTAATAACAGAGTATAGGCTTTTAGTGCCCTGTTTAAATTGGTATTGGGGGGTGTTTACCATCTTGCCCACAGGAGATAGAGTCCCGGGCATCCACTTGGTAAATCCCACCAGGAACGTCCAGAACTTGGGCTGGTTCTGTGTGACATGGCATTGTGTCAATGCATCCATGCCCATAATAGGGAAAGGGCCAAGGAAGCTACCACCAGAAGAAGCCCTTTGAAGTAAATGGTCCCTGTAGTTAGCTACATCCGAATGGATTTGTACACCTTTGACTGTTTAACTGGCAATGCCCTGTAGGTAGAAGCGTCTCCCTTTCGAGAATTTAGAGGGATTATCTGGAATAACAGTGATTGGGCCCTGGTGTCTAATAGGGCCGAGAGGCCCATGCATTTTTCTTGTCCCAGTGGACTATCAGAGTGGCATAGGGGCCACTGCTTGCCGGAGGTGGGTTAAGTCCTGGGGAGCTACCTGTTGCCTAGGGTAGAGGCTTAACCCTGGAGGTTAGAGAGGAGGGCAGCTGTGTGGCAAGAGGATGGATGGCAGAAGGCGGTTGTGTCTGTCTTAGGGTCTAGAGTTTAGAGACTGGCTGTCCATATACTAAGGGACCAGGAACACTGAGATGTTGTAACTGCCAGGAGAGGTTAACCTGCGTATTTCCATAAGGGGCAAAATTAAGTTGGGGGTTTACTAGGGAGGGGGCGGGGAGGTTTGCTCAAGGGGAATCCTCCTCTGGGGCAGTGGGTGTGGAAGGGCATAGGTCTGAAGTATCTGGGCGCCTGGATAGTAATCTCCTCTACGTCCAGCAACCGTGTCAGGGCCTGCCAGTGCCTTTTAAATGGTTCCAGCAGTCCCATTAAAACGTAGTAGGGCTGCCCTGTAATTAAGGGGAGCGCCTTATGAAAAGAAGTCTCTGGACTCCGGGTCACATGGGGCCTCTTCAGGTTTAGAAACGAAGAGGGGAAGAGGGGGTCACCTGGGTCACTATGGTCTGGTCTCTTGGGGCTCGCCACAAGTAGTAGAGGCCCAGGCGAGTGCCCCCAGGCATTCCCAACAGCCGGCGTCCCTATGGGTAGGCTGAGCCCGGACCGGCTGGCAGACGGTGTAGTCAGCAGGGCTGCGTGGTAGCACTTGCGGGTAACTGCGGGGACTGCCTTATCTTCCACCGTCTTACAGTGACTGGCTAACCGGACAGGTCACGGCACTTGGGAACACAGCACCACTTGCTGGACGCCATCCCACCGGGCTCGGTTTTGCGTGTCGCCTCCGCTGTGTGTTACCTGTGGTCTCTCTCCTGAAGTGTCACTGCTGCCGTAGTAATTCAGTCTCTTCAGAGCTGTGTGAGCAAGACCATAGGGACTCAGGAGATGATTAGGCCACTAATTATAAAGGCCTTTAGTGACTAAGGTAAATGAGGGTCCTCCAGGCCTTGGCGCCCAGGAGAGCTAATGAAGGCAGACTGGATCCCAAGGCTGTTCTCACTGCCCCAGGGGAGGCTTTGGGCTAATTACTGAGGATAGGATATTCCAATCGGTGAGGAGGAAGGAGAACTCCCCTAGTGACCACTGAGTGGTGGCTCCTAGTGGGACTATGTGTCCCCTACAGGCATTTCCCTCACCGGAGTCCGTTTTACAGCTGGACTGGCCTTCGTGGTTCTTACGATTGCAGGAAGCACCTTGGCAACCACCATCAGGGAACTTCGAAAAACAAGATCTTACTCCCTACAAGTTCTGGAGGGTGTGGGGCACTCCGAGGTCTCAGTTAGGGGGAGAGGCAGAGAGCATGGTCCTGGGGCTCCGCCTGTATTGGGATGAAGGGGGAAGTGCCTGGGGCTTTGTAAGATCCTTCTTTATTGACAAATTTAAAACATAAGAGCGGAAATTAGGAAGTGGGAAAGGAGAAACGGATCGCTCAAGTGGTCAGTTATCTGAGTTACCCAGGGCTTTCTAAGAGGGGAACTTCCTGTGCGGCGGGGGCCTGCTGCTCTGCCTGGTTGATGCGCCGCTAGCTGGGCATTCATGTCATGAAGGGCTTGGAAGTGGATGCCTTGGCAGTCAGAAGCTTAATGTCAGGCACAGATGCTACACTTACAGAAGCACTTTGGAAAAGTATGTGTCTGTGTTTACTAAACCTGAATATGCCCATAAACCTACGACCCAGCAGTTCCTCTCCTGGGTACGTCCCCAGAAGAAAGGAGCGCGCATAGGCCCCAAGAGAAATACGTGGGAACAGTCCCAGCAGCGTTATCAGCAGCTGTCCAAGAGTAGAATAGGTGCGGTAGACGAAAGAGCTACCTTACAGGAAACAGTCCCAACACACAGTGCTGCACAGAACAGCAGTACACACAGCTGCGAGAATGAGGCTCCTGCCCAACAGAACGGTGTGCCAGAGGGGCCAGGCACGAAGGTGTACGCTGTGTGAGTCCCTTTATTTATAAAGCCTGAAAACCGGCAAGACGAAGCGATGCTGTTTACCAGAGGATACCAGAACAGTATAAGTATAAAAAAAAAAACAAGGAAGAGATTACCTTGAAAGGCAGAAGAGTGGGTCATTTGGAGGGGGAAGTGGATGTGATACATCTGGGCTTTCTTGAGTAGAAGCAACGACGTATTTCTAGACGGGGGATGGTTATGTAGATGTTTGCTTTCTGATTCATTAAACTCAATGTTTGTGATGTGGTTTTCACCAAGAAAAGATTTTTTTGAAGGCTACGTATAAAATGTCAATTTTCAAGTTACACGTATTTTTTATTTATAAACAAAAGTATTAAAACATGCTTGGGAAGGATATGTATTGGGGCGCCTGGTGGGTCGCTCTGTCATTAAGCATCTGCCTTCGGCTCAGGTCATGATCCCAGGGTCCTGGGATCGAGCCCCACATCGGGCTCCCTGCTCGGTGGGAGGCCTGCTTCTCCCTCTCCCACTCCCCCTGTTTGTGTTCCCTCTCTCGCTGTGTCTCTCTATCTCTGTCAAATAAATAAATAAAATCTTTTTAAAAAGGAAGGATATGTACAAATTTAGATTAGCTTATCTCTGGGCACGGAGGGGAATATGATGGTGCTGGCATCTAGAGCTATATTATTTTACGCCTTTTCAAAAGGAAAGATCTGAAGCAAAGATGGCAAAATAGTAACATTTTCAGTCTGGGTGATATGTGCATGGGTGTCTTGTTTGGGGTACATTTCTGCATGTTTATTTTTCATAAAATTTAGGGGCACCTGGGTGGCTCAGTTGGTTAGGCGGCCGACACTTGGTTTGGGCACAGGTCATGATTTCAGGGCCATGAGATCGAGCCTCACATCGGGCTCTGTTTTCAGCAGGGAGTCTGCTTGGGATTCTCACTCTCACTCTCCCCCCTACTCGTGCTCATGCACATGCTCGCTTTCTCTAGAATAAACAAATCTTTTAAAAAATATCAATTTAAAAGTAGACAAGATGTTTTTTAAAGGGAAAGGGAGTTGGAGACAGAAATTAGGTGTGTTATACATACCAGCACTGTTTTTTTTGTTCCACAGGTACCTGAAGCTCTTCACTTTTCTGCCCCTTCCAGAGATTGACCACATCATGCAGCTGCATGACAAAGAGCCAGAAAAGCGGGGTCCTCAGAAACGACTTGCTGCAGAAGTTACGAAGCTTGTTCATGGACAAGAAGGGCTGAATTCTGCTAAAAGGTGGCCTTTAGGAATAACTAACACTGGATAAAGTTATGTAGTTAGTAGGCTTGAGAAAATTCCTTAGGGTTATCTTGTCATTTACCACTAACAAAGATTGTCAGTGTTTGACTTAAGTGCTTTAGAATAGCCTCTATTGGAAAGAAAGATCATCTTGAGTTAAGGATGAATTATACAAGATAAATGTTGCTGTTTGAAAACTGGCTGTTAGAGCACAGGCCCTCACATGATGTGGTTTTGATGTGTTTCCAGGTGTACGCAAGCCCTTTATCATAGCAGTACTGATGCACTGGAGGTCATGTCTGATCAAGAGTTGAAAGAATTATTTAAGGAAGCTTCATTTTCTGAATTAGTTCTTGACCCAGGAACAAGTGTCCTAGATACATGCCGCAAAGCAAATGCCATTCCAGATGGTCCCCGAGGGTAAGATGATTTAACTTTTATTCACAGGTAATTCAACATCAAGTGTTAGAGTTCACAGCATGTTTCCAGAGGGTGTTTTCCTGATAGTGCCATAATGGTGTCTCATTTCTGGGAGAAGTTAGGTTAGTCCAAGAATAAAGTGAAAATGGGGTACTTACCGTTGAAAATACTCTAAATTTTCTATAAAATCTGGTACTACTGTTGTCTCTCATTAAGTCTAACTCCATTTTTCCTCCAGCGCTGGAAAGACCTTATTGAAGGGACCACTATGGTCAGCAGGTGCACTGGGATTAGTCAGCTCAGGGATGGTCACAATTTGAGATCAAAAGCGAACAGATTCACATGACCCCTCTCATATTTAGTCTGTATGGTCTTTGAGGGAGTAGAGGGGTTGCCCAACCTATTTAAAATATTTGTTGAGGGACACCTAGGTGGTTCTCAGTTGGGCATCTGCCTTCGGCTCAGGTCACGATCCCAGGGTCCTGGGATCGAGTCCCGCATTGGGCTCCTTGCTCAGCGGGAAGTCTGCTTCTCCCTCTCCTGCTCCCCCTGCTTGTGCACGCGCTCTCTCTCTCTGACACATAAAATTTTTAAAAACATTAAAAAAAAATTAGTTGAATTTCTGAAAATGAAGTAAGCATACGATGTTACTTCCTAAAACTAGTATTATAAATTACATACTGTTCCTTTTGAGAATCCCATTTTTTTATTCAAGAAGTAGGTAGGATATTTTTTCCTCAGTTATGTGGTATTCTTAGGGAATAAAGTGTTCCACAAAAAAGTAATCCGGCATATACTTGATGCTTATGCATTTATAACTGAAACAGTGTGATGTAGAAGGAAAAGCATTAGTTAGCCGGAAGACCCTGGGTGCCTCATCTCCTGGAGTGTGAGCATAAGTCAAATGCTTATCAGCCCATATTCATGATTATAAATGACATTTGTTATAGTTGCTGTTTTCTTTCCATTGTTTTGGGTTATTTGCCTTTATCCTAAAAAGCCCTAGATTATTCTATATGGAGAAAATATTCATTGTCTGTCTATGTATCACTTGCCATTCTACCTTATTGATTCTCTACTATGCTCATTATTTAATGTACACTGAATTGAGGGTGGTACCATATACCTCCCCAGAGTGACTCACTGGTTCTAAGAATTTTCCTTACTGTGGAAGCATTTTTTACTTGCTTCTGAACTTTTCTAGTGGTTTATTTACTGATACTGGAAATTTTACCACGACTTAAGATGACACCATATCTGATTTAGACAGAGTTCCTTTTTTTTTTAATAATTTTTTATTGTTATGTTAATTACATCATTAGTTTTTGATGTAGTGTTCCATGATTCATTGTTTGTGCATAACACCCAGTGCTCCACGCAGAACGTGCCCCCCTCAACACCCATCACCAGGCTAACCCATCCCCCCACCCCCCTCCCCTCTAGAACCCTCAGTCTGTTTTTCAGAGTCCATCGTCTCTAATGGTTCGTCTCCCCCTCCGACTTACCCCCCTTCATTCTTCCCCTCCTGCTATCTTCTTCTTCTTCTTTTTTTTTCTTAACATATATTGCATTATTTGTTTCAGAAGTACAGATCTGTGATTCAACTGTCTTGCACAATTCACAGCGCTCACCATAGCACATACCCTTCCCAATGTCTATCACCCAGCCACCCCATCCCTCCCACCCTCCACCACTCTAGCAACCCTCAGTTTGTTTCCTGAGATTAAGAATTCCTCATATCAGTGAGGTCATATGATACATGTCTTTCTCTGACTTATTTCACTCAGCATAACACCCTCCAGTTCCATCCACGTCGTTGCAAATGGCAAGATCTCATTCCTTTTGATGGCTGCATAATATTCCATTGTGTGTATATACCACATCTTCTTTATCCTAGACAGAGTTCTTAATACTGACATTTTTTAAGATTGTATAAGGTAAATAAGATTGGCTTGTGCATTTAAACAAAATGTAGAACATAATCTGGAAACTATAGCAAATAGCCCAAAATAACACTTCCTAAGAGAAAGAAATTTGTCCTTAAATAGAAAACTGTTGAGTTTTATAAACTCATGTGTAGTAGCAGTTTGTCATTTGGTAACATTCAGGTAAGAGAAAATGAACATTTGCCTTTCACAAGGGCTTCCAAAGCCTTTCATGCTCTAGACCTTTTCTTCTCTCAGTTTGCTTCTTTCTAGCTACTCTCCATGTTTCCCCACCCTATTTGTGGAAGTAATTGCTACTCACCCTCCCAGTTGCCATGTCTCTTCTTTCAGGAAAATTTCCAACCCCCCACCCACCCAGTGTGCACCCAGAGCAATCTTTCCTAGCGGTGATAGCATTTAGTCCCTGTGTAATTATTTGTCTGGCTCTCTCCACTAGTTTGCAGTACTATTTATATTTAGTGCATAGTAAATGTTCTATAAATGTTGAATGAATTGGGGAATAAATAAATGAGTAAAACCTATTTACATATGCCATCAAAAAATTGTTACTAAACTGGAATTAGATAAGCTACTGATTTTCCATCTCTGAAATCAGCCAGTTTCACCTTAAAAAGTCTTAAAATTGTAACAATGTGCTATTATTTGCATAGCCTCAGAATATAATTTCCAAGGATTTTCCAGTTTCATAAGCAAGTTTCCTAAAGATTTCTGTAATAGGACTACATAGTCATGACTTCTATCTCATGGGCGCTCATGAAAAGCAGCATTGTCCTCTTTTCTTTTTGGAGGCTTCTTTTCTGTCATTGGGGAATCGCTCTCCAGAAAGTGATATTGCTATTTTTTTTTTTTTAGATTTTATTTTTAGATGTGTGAGACTTATTTTTTTCCCAATGTTTTTTTTTTTTCAATTTTTATTATGTTAATCACCATACATTACACCCTGTGCTCCATTCATTCTTTTTTTTTTTTTATTTGACAGCGAGAGAGGGAACACAAGCAGGGGGGAGTGCGAGAGGGAGAAGCAGGCCCCCACTGAGCAGGGAGCCCGATGCGGGGCTCGATCCTAGGACCCCGGGATCATGACCTGAGCCGAAGGCAGACGCTTAACTGACTGAGCCACCCAGGCGCCACTCTGCTATTCATTTTTAAACCACTACCAACTAAATAGTTCTATGTAAAGCTGTAAAGTAGCCCAGCTTTTTCTCCACTAAACAAGAAACTTATGCCTTAAATCTCCTTTTAGAAGAGCACTTGAGGGAGGCAGAATCTAGTATAGTGAACATGAAGGTAACAATTCAGTGCTAAGTGGTTTTAGTTGGAGAGCTTCTGAAATGTAAGTGAAATGATGATTCTAATTAAGCATTTCTGTTTTTAGGTATCGGATGATAACAGAAGGTGGAGTCAGTATAAATCACAGACAAGTAACAAATCCTGAGAGTGTTTTAGTTGTTGGAGAACACATTCTTAAAAATGGACTTTCATTACTTAAAATAGGAAAAAGGAATTTCTACATTATAAAATGGCTGCAGCTATGATGAAAAATCCTCCAGGTGGTTCAGACTTACCCATCTCCTTCTCAAGATGTACCAAAGGTTGGCTCCAGAACTTATACTTTTCCTCATGCACGTCAAACCACAGAGAATGGAGTACACTCTAGGCCTCAGAGCGTGAGTAATTTTATTTCCACAGGGTGGTTAAGACAAGGGGCTTATTACGCAATGAGGTATCTTATCTCCTGAGCCGCAGGTATAAGGACTACCACAGAAAACCGTGATTGCCAGGGATAATCTCTTTTAAAAAATTGTTTCATGAAAGAACGATCTTATCCTTCTTGCTCCCTTTTTAGAGATGAGGAAAAACAGTGAAGAAGAGTAAGGACTCGTGGATACTTTTTTAAAGATTTTATTTATTTGACAGAGATAGCGAGAGAGGGAACACAAGCAGGGGGAGTGGGAGAGGGAGAAGCAGGCTTCCCACCGAGCAGGGAGCCCAACGTGGGGCTCAATCCCAGGACCCTGGGATCATGACCCGAGCTGAAGGCAGAGGCTTAACGACTGAGCCACCCAGGCGCCCTCGTGGATATAGATACTTTTATATCGGGGGTTTATCTCCCTGATCTCACTCGAGAATACCAGCAGCGCCTCTAGTGTCCACATTAGAAATGTGAAAAATAGTATTGGAAACTTGTAAATTTCTGAATTTTTTGTTGTTTATGAATCAAATATAGTTATCCTTAAGAAGTATTACATACATTAAGCCAAGGTTTGGCAGTAGAAATTCTAGTAGAAAGTTTCCTTTCAAAGAACAAAAATCCGTACTTTTCAGAAAGTTTCTAATTCAGTTTTCTAGGTCCTTGCCTGTGTTTCAGTATAATTAAATTTACTCACAGCCTTGTTTTGCCGGATTACTAAGGTAGCAGTATTTTATAAATTTGGGAACTTACATGAGTTTTAAGTTTCAGCTTCTGTCCCCAAGCAGATTGCAACCTGAGATAAACCAAAAAATAACTAGAGCGAAAAGAGGCAAATATTATACCAAATATCCAATCATAGGAGAATATCAAAAAGTATTCAGGTAAGGGAAGTTTTCAGGATTTAGAATCAAGACCTAATTAAGCTCTCCATATATTAGGCAAGTCAATTCTCAGAACTGTTTCCACATCTGAAAAATCAAGGTCCTTGAGGGCCAAGTGAAACACATACAAAATGGTTCACAATCTGATTCCTTCTAGAAAACCTTACAGGCAGCAAAGCATGGCTTTAATGCTGAAATTCTAGCCATTTACTACCTGGATTACATGGAACAAATCACTGTCTTTGAGTGTAAAACAAGATGTGATATCTTTGAGAATTGTGAGAATAGGAAAAAATTTTGTAAAACTTTTATACACTGTATTATCTAAACCTTTCTCTGGGAGCAAAGTTAGGAAGAATTCATTTATTGACAAAACTTTAATGTCATACATACCAGCAATTTTATTTACATAGCAAGAACATACAGGTGTCCACTGTAAACGTCAGATCGTCTCAACAGACCAGAGCTTCACTCAGTTTGAGAGCCAATAAAGGAAGGTTTTGTAACTTCCCATACCTTTCTTGCTTTTGCTTTCCTTGTACAAGGTGTGTAGTGCCAGCAAGTACGGTACCATAGCCTATCTTTAAAGGTAACATCTTCAATTTGAAATGTTTGATATAGTGGAGAATGGTGCACTAAGTTTTCCCCCCTTACAAATTCAAAAGGCTGAAATGGTAGTCATCTGATGTATCTGAGGTTAAATCGTGGATGGCTATACTGATGTTGAAGAATGGCAAAGTGACTTTAAAGTGTGTGCTAACGGACACTTAGGTAGTGTGCATTCTGTCAAGATATGGTACTACTTTGTGAGTAGTACCAATCCTAGAAGACAATGTTTATGTTTGAGATCAGTTGCTGAGCCTGTTGTTTGCTAGTAAATGGGTGCCGTAAGCTCAAGTTAACAGACATGTTGCCCTGCCATGAGTCCTTCATAAATGTCATAAGAGAAATGTTAACATGTTCAGTAAATTATGTATCACAGATACAGTATCTGTTAGAGATGGAGCGAGATGCCTTAAGGATTTTGACCTGTCTCAAAATTTATAATGTAATTCATATCAAGAATCACCTGGGGAATTTTAATAAAATATGAATATGTTGTAAACCTCACCCCCAACCTCTGAATGCATTTTAGTAGTCTAAGCCTTCAGATGTGTGGCTGTGTCCAGGTATTTTGTTGGTGTGAAGTAAAAGTAACTTTACCAATAGAGAAGATATACTTCAATGATCAGCACAGGACTTGGTTTTAAGTCCCACCTCCAAGTGAATCTTGGAGCATGGTCTAAGTGACCTAATTTAAAGATGTATCTGAATTATTATATTTGAAAATCAAGTCTAGATGATTGTTTTTAATGCAGGAAAATATAATTCATGCTTCCAGGTTTACAAAAGGATCAAAGAAAGATATTTTGATTTTTAACACACTAGGGCAGTGTGGGCCCATAAGTGAAAGGGCTGCGTGGCTACACATTACACATACTGTGTCACTGTCAATGTTCCAGATCTTTCTTACTAACACATCAAAGGTTGCAGAGAAGCTCAATGAAACTATAAATCGGACAGATGGAATACAGTGACTTTGAGTAACTCGTCAACTCACATCATCTTTCAAAGCCAGACCAGTTTATACTGTGCATGCATTACAGTTGTAGGAAATGGTGTCTTGGTGCGTTCTTGAAGGACTACGGCGGCAGCTTTAAGACTACTAACAGATTACACAGGTCGTCTTATCCACAGGCAAACTGCTTGTACAACTAGAACATTAACAGCTCTTTTTAAGTAAGTTCAAATGAAACAAACAGTCACAAGAAAGACGATGTATTTTATATGTACTGGGCAACTTGAGAAACAGCCATTTATTATTTGGATTAAATGTATGATTTGTTCTGCAATACAGAGTAAAATTTTCAGTTTATAGCCAGTCTCCTCACATGAGCAGATTCATACCATTGCAATACACAGGAGTTCATAAATAAAATTCTACTCAAGTAGGCAGTAACTAGCAGATTTCGAGTCAACAAAGTCTCAGTATTATATAATTCTCTTCACCAAAGATGAGTCTCTCGGATTTCAGCAATTATTTGACTGGCTCCTTGTAATGCCTATATTAAAAAAGAAAAGATTATAGATGCTTATTAAGTTATGGTATCAAAAAACCTGAATAATGGGGGGGTAATCTCTCCACTTTGTATGTGGTAGATTTATATTAACCAGTATCTTCTCTGGAATTTGAATCTAGAAATCTAATCAAGTATCAACAACAAAAAAAAAAGATTAGCCATCACTTGAAGACTATGTATCTCCAAGGCTGAGAATGCATTAACAGTGCAGTGTTTGTATCTGTGACCCAAGTGTGAAAATTCAAAGCCACTGACAGTACCTTCAGCATGTCAGCTGCTTCCTTCCTGCGCTGTGCCATGTCCTCAGATTCAGTCAGAAGATCATCCAGTAAGGATGATTTATACAGCTGTCCTACTAACTCACTCTGAAGAGTATCTTTCACATGATTAACCAAAAAATGCATTACTGCCTTTGGCACACTGCAAAACAAAACCAGCAGATGATCCAGTGATTTAGAATAAAAGCCCCAAAATTTTAAAACACGTATTTTTAAAACAGATTATGGAATCATTGAGCAATATTAAGAGTCTGATTTAGTACTCTAGTACTAACCTGTCTTGAATATTCTTTCTGACAATAAGAAAATACGATTTGATGAGTCTTTCAATGACCTCACAATCTCGCTGTTCCCGGGCAGATAGTTTTCGTGCAACAGGAACAGGCTAAATGGAGTGAGGGGAAGAAAATTTTACTTTTGTGCCATTTGAAACGGCAACCTTTAACAGCTTAAAAGTTCAGTACGTTTTTGTGACTTTTAGTCCCTTTGGTCTTTTGAAGTGTTTCCCTAGTAATGTGGTTATCTTATTAGCGCTTACCACATCCAGCAGATTCACAGCATGGCCTTTTTGTGGACTGGCTGGCATAATTGGAATGGGCTTTGATTTCTCCTCAGCTAATAACTCTTCAGCTTTTGAAGTTTTCAGCATTCCTCTCCAGTTGCCTGTTGTTGGTTCTTGAACACCGTCTCCAACCCCACCGCCTCCAGATGCAACCTGAAATAAACATGTTCCAAAACCTATTCCAACTGTATCCGACCTGACATTAACTAAACAAAGTTCATTTTCTTTGGCAGTGGTCAAGGAGAACATACATCCAGTACCATCTGGAATTTCATCTATTCAGACAGATAACAGGGTCAGAAAAAGATGGTGTGGGCCATGTGTAACAAACCCTGAGCTATCGTAAATAAGAGGTTCTGTTGTCATTACTTTGCAAGACCTCAGCCAATAGATTTATCTTTTGCTAACTTTGCCAACCCTCTAAACAGTGGATTGTGGGAAAAGTATAAACTGCCCTTAAAAACAAGAGTGCTTATTAAAAGCACAAAGGAAAACAGAACTGCCATTCAGCTTAATTTTTTCAAAAGTAACCTTACACACTGTTGAACTATGATCTCTCCAAAAGTTCTATGAACTCGTGTCTCAAAAACTTCAGTTTATTTTCCGTTAGTTTACATTCTTAATAGTCAACAAAATACTGTAGGATAAAACTACAAACTCTGTAATAAGAATTCTTAGGCTGATAGTAGCTTTAAACTGCCTAAAATGTGGAATGTGACATAAACCCAAGGTAAGTTTCCTCACTATACTCTTAAGGATCTACTGAAAGAAATCTAGTAATCACCAGTACTTTTGCACCTTCTTTTCTAGGGTATCTGTTAGTTGATTTGTAAAAGAAAAAATGTTTAGGATAATGGGAAAAACAGTAACTCACCAACATTTAAGAATGTTTTTAGATGCTCTTTAAAAAGATCTTACAATCTAAAATGGAGTTAAGATGGCATCCAAACTTTTAACCAAAGTGTGTTATGGCAATTGTTAAAAAACATCAGTTTTCAAAACATAAATGCTCACAGATACAGAGAAAAATTGGGGGTCAACTGTAAGGTGATGGATGCTTAACTAGACTTTTGGGGTTGATCACTCTGTATTGTATACAGATGTCAAATTATAATATTGCATACCTGAAATGTATTCTTAAAAAGTCAGTTTGGGGTATCGTTCTGAATCAAAACACTAGCCCAAATTTGCCTCTAATACAAATATAGGCAGTATTTTTATACACTAATCTTAAAAGGAGTAATTATATCTTTAAATGCCTGTTAACTACACCACAAATGATAAGAAAAGGAAAGTGATCAAATTCAAGCTGATGCCACGAGTGAAATAAAACTTAGAGCAATGATTTAGATGGTTTGTAAAACCTGAGCACAGTGGGCTGAGAGAGGATAAGACGTTTATAAACTTTTGAGGTTTAGAACCTTAAATCTGGACAAGTGAGGAAAGGAGCTGAAGGCAGAAAAACCAGAAATAAGGATGGGTCTGAAGAATTTACTGATTATCTCTTTTTCCCCCAAAAAAGGTTATCAAGAATTGACGGTCTCAAATTCTCCCAGGCCCTGTTTGCTCTGAATTTGCTTCAGCTGCTGAGGCACATGCTAAGCCCCAGGTTTCGGGTGACAAGGCATACTGCATGGCCACTCAGGCAAGCAGCAAGGAGGGGCTGATCCATTAGTAACAGAAGATCTCAGAACCTTTAAAGAGGAAAGGTTCAGAAGTATTATCTTCCATCTCTGGAATCTTAATTCCCTACCACAGTATTAAAATCAAAACTAGGAGGAAAGCCTGTTGTTATTAAAAGAAATGTTAAAACTAGAACTAACGCCATCTTACAAGGATTAGTTAGGTAAGAGAAACATTAAAAAATGGAACACAGACAAGAGATAGATGCTACTATACAGCTTCTTGAGTGGTTGTGAAGACAGTGTTTCAGTGAGAACCAAAGGTACATTTCCATTCTGAAGCAAGAGACTCACATTTTTAGTTTCTCTTCTGCTGTCCTGAATTAACTGTTAAAAGATATGTTAAAACATGCAGTTTAACAAGCAAAATTTAAATACCAATAGTTTGAATTTCAAAAGTGCAGGATAATTTCCTCTTTATTTTTCCGTGTGCATCTTCTATATTGCAAGCAAAAGAAAGGCATGTCAGCAGTAATTTATGAAGTATACATTGTTATATAATTTAAAATTCCTATTAGACTAAAATGATCCAACCTTAGCACAACATCCCACATTAATGTTCAGTGTACAGTGTGTTTCCAGATGGTTATGTGGCACCAACAACTAGGCATGCAGGCTTAGATTAAGAATCAGAACAGACCTTGCCATCAGCCTCAGCAGAAGCAGCAGGGGAGGGCTCCTGGGAGGCAGGTGCCAAAGCACTTGGAACTTTATAAGACTAAAGGCAAAAAATGCAGGGAAAGAAAATCAAGGATGCCAAAAATGCATTCAGAAACATTCTATAAGTGTAAATTTTTCTTCTCTGTATCAGAATAGTAAAGTAACATGAGAAAAGCAACATGGGATATAAAATTGTTTATTCTTCCCTATTTCTTGTACTATTGTCATCTTTGTTACAAGCCTTCTTCAGATGAATAACTAAGGAAAATCCAAATTCAAAAATTTCATTTTTATTTCTAGAATCTGGTAAGGTCTTTTCTGGTAAAGAATTCAAGGTAACAGATTTGTTTACATGCGTTTTAATCTATGTAACCATTACAGAAAACTAAAACCTATTTGCCTATTATCTTCCCTCTCCAAAATACCTTCATGTTATGGTAAATTCATTGGTCATTTCAACTAATTTTACAAAGTTGATAAAGTCACCATAAACTTTGTTTTAAAAGCTTGATACTTAGGGTGGCTCAGTCGGTTAAGCCTCTGACTCTCAGTTTCAGCTCAGGTCATGATCTCAGGTCTTGAGATCGAGCCCTGCGTGGGGCTCTGTGCTCAGCATGGAGTCTGCTTGAGGTTCTGTCTCTCCCTCCCTCCCCTCTCTCTAAAATCTTTAAAAAAAAAATAAAAGCTTGGTATTTAAAATCCATCTTAAAGCATTTTTTTCTAATGTATTCAAGATACCCTTATCTTTAAATTACTCAACCTCTTTTTGAACTTGCATACCTTTACTCAAACAATGAAATAGTTCCAATGAAATAGTAAAGGGAGAAGAAGAAAAGAATACTCCTCCTAGAACTGAGTAGTAGTAAGGCTTACCAATCCTTTGCATATTGGGAATATGATTAAAAATACTAGTTTTTTACCTTATCTCGTGATACAGCTGAAGGTAATTCTCTTGCTAGCCTGTTTCTTCTTTGTTCCTATAAAACACAACCAAACAAAACCCAAGTGATTATCAGAGCACTGAGAAGCCTACTAAAAAATGTTCAGCTGAATCGAAAAGTGTGGAATAACTTACAGTATATCCTCTCACTGCTGGGACTCATGTCACAATTTTATTTTAAAACAAACAAGAAATCATTTAACCCAATGCTTCTCAATCTTTTTTTCTGCCCAACACACCTGAAGGATACAATACAACGTCAGTAACAGTGGCTCCCTGGACCAGGGATTCTCAGTTGAGGGGTGATGGGCTGACATCTCTGCCTTTCCCGCTGGGAGTCAATGATGTAAATTGTCCCCACGTAAACGTGTGCACAACCCTCCAGCACACCGTGTGGAATCTTAAGTGCGCAGGTGATGGAAAACTTAAGCCTTTAAACATCACTCTAACCTGCACACCTGTGTGTGAAATTCACACAACTCCCACACACAAAACCCTAAATACCTGTGGTGGAGAGAGGTTATCCTTTAAAGACGTTCCATTTTCTTTATCCTAAACTATCTCCCAGAAATAAATGTAGTGGTGAAAAACAGTCCTTTCTGTAACCTAATGTAATAGACTGACTGACCACCCACTCTTCGAATTGGCCAGTATTACAAGGTAACTCTGGTACAAAGCTTGAGAAACTGTTAAATTCAAATCAGTAGGTAGTGAAACCTACTGTATGTCAAGCACCATGAGAGGGGCAGGAATGAAAACAGAGAAAGGGGGGTGTTTCTGGCTCTCTTGCAGGCAGTGAGAAAGGAAAGCATTTAAGTTAAATAAAGTCAAAATTGCTCCTAAGGAGAAGCCATTTCATGAGCACTCTCAAACCTGCAAAAAAAGATGTTAACCAAGCTTCCACAGTGATCGTTTATGGGTAAGACTTTCTTCTGACAGATACTTGACTGATTTTCATTTTTTTCATGAGGGAATCCAGTGATCCAAAAAAATATAGCAGATGATAAAACTATGTGGATTTTAACAATCTTCCGAATAATTAAAATGTACATTTTTGAAGAGGGACACGAAGCAAAAGGCAGGAGAATGTGGAGCCCAGAAATTCTCATCCTAGTCTGTTACCAGCCAGTTATGACCTTAGCTGGCCTGGACACCAGTCCTGGCTAATTTAACTGTTAACTGGAGAGGTTACCAACTCTTTCTAAGCCCTCAGTTTTGTAGTCTGTTAACATTATCTACCCTCAAAAGATGGTTGTAAAGATTTAATGAGAATATCCAAGTTCTTTGCCATGAAATCATTAAAAACAGACATGCTCATTTGTTTAAAAAACAAAACTTAGCTGAAATCATAAAGAACCTTGTCAGTATTACAAAAACTTCCATATATCAGTTTTCCATTGAAAACTGGTTTCAGAGGCACCTGGGTGGCTCAGTCGTTAAGCATCTGCCTTCGGCTCAGGTCATGATCCCAGGGTCCTGGGATCGAGCCCCGCATCGGGCTCCCTGCTCAGTGGGGAGCCTGCTTCTCCCTCTCCCACTCCCCCCTTGTGTTCCTGCTCTGGCTGTCGGTCAAATAAATAAATAAAATCTTAAAAAAAAAAAAAAAACCAAACCCTTATTCTAAGACAGTAGAATGTCTACACACTCATTTTTAACATAACTGTTTTCTAGTGCACTTTCCAAGTGCTTTAAAGTGCCTTAATGTGCCTTACTCATGTCCGCTTTGAAATTTTTTTTCTGACACTGAGTAACCTCAGCTAAGCAGCTAAAAAATAGTTCCCTATACCTGTTAAAAAGAAGGTGCTTGTTTTCTCCAACAGTGCCCAGCAAAATAAGCACTAAAATAACACTGTTACCATCTGTGGGCCTCAGATTCCCCATCTGTTTAACCAAAGAACTGAAGCTGATGACCCAGGGTCCCTTCCAGTTCCCAAATTCCATGTTTACAATTTCCTCCCTGTTTCCCATATGCATAAAAGGAAATTTTATAAAAAAGGGGACTCGAAGGTCTTACTGGATTAAGGAGTAGCAGAAAAATTTACTGTTCTTGGATAAAAGTAGCTGAGAACAAAAATAGCATCTGGATAAATTGCTTTATCCACCAGCCTTGTCTCCATGTGAGAGCTTACACAACTTGGAACATTCACCTCAAATGGAAAAAAAAAGAGCCATGAAATGCAGCCACCCCAGTACTGGTGAAAATTTACTATTAATTTAGGTAAATCTTGGAATGTCCTTCCTAGCTTTCAGAGCCAAATGAAAACAATTTTAAACATTCACTCAGTTTTCCACTCTTGAACCTGAATAAACTACACCAGTTACTGAAAGGGAGCAGGCAGTCCACACTAAATCAGTGCATCCCAGATCCCCTCTGACTTGCAGTCGTGTAAACAGAAACTTAGAATAATGCTGCCAGGTGGTTCTGGGAATTAGATTTAACATAACAATGTAATGCCCTCAGCATACTTCCTGGAATGTAACCATACAATAATATGGTCCAGTGTGTTTCCATGCTCAGTAAATTTGATACAACTGATTTACAACAGATTCTTCCTCTCAAAAGTGACAATTCAAATGGTATTTACCTCTATATTATTGTTCATTAGCCCACAAGCATCAGCAAAGTCTGGATGTTTTGTGTTGATATAAGCCAATTCAATTGCCACTAAGTTATGGACCTAGAAAAAAAAAAATTAGGCTAAAAATATGTCGACCTAATTCTACTTTAGGAAACATGAAACTTAGTAAACAGTTCTAGAAAAGACACTATGGGACCCTGATGCCTAAATCAATACTCAATAATTATACTCCAACTGATGGCATGTTATACCATATAATAATTTCCTCTATCTTTTGAATTATTTGTATCTCAGCATCTAAGATTGCATTTTTAAAGAGGGAGGGGAGGAAGTAACCTTAAGGTAGTCAGAAGTACTCTATTAGGGGGAAAAAAATTCCCTGATGCAAATCTTTAAGTTCCAAGGCTTTATGTAATTTTGCTATTAAAATCTCAGATCATCTGCTAGTCCGTCTCAAAGTTTCAATTCAGTTTCAACAAGAAAACATTTCATGATCAGATATAAAAGATGTTTGAGTAAAAGACCCATTTAAAGACCTGAGATAATGATTGATTAGCCTCAATTAGACACACATAGTTTAAATATTATATGTGGCTTGAAATCCTAATGGGACAATAATCCAAAAAGAAAGTTGAAATTAATTTCTCCAGCGTTGCAGAGCTTAACTCCTTCATTTGCACTGCCCTAATGAATCTCAGGCATTAGGAGAGCACTAAAACGTCAAGAACCAAGGTGAAAAGCGTCTACAAAGGAAACCCCAATGATCCTGTGCCGTCACTAGCTCTGAGATCAGGCTAACCGTATCCCTGCGCCCTCAGGCTGGGGGTTACGCTTGCTACGGAAACACCGAGCAGCGCTCACATTCTATACTTCCAGGGATGGTTTTTGTAGTCTTAGTAAACCTCCACCGGGGCTCAGCACCATCCTTAGCCAAGGACCCAAATGCACTGTTAGTTACCAGAAAGGGAAACAAAACACTCAGCCAACAAATAGAGACATAAAGGCAATCTCAAATGCTTATCCCATATTTTTACCAATTTCAGCATTTTTAAGGATAGCAGCAACCCACAAAATAGTAGCAAGCAACCATGATATCACAGCACTGGGTCATCAAATAAGCAAACAAGAAGTGGCCAAATGACCCCGATGTACCAGAGTTAAAATAGCTCGCTATAAAGGCTCAGTTTACTGGGGCTGAAGATAAAACTAATTTTCCATTAGATCAGTGGTGCTATATAGAGTAGAGCAAAGTTATTCACAGTCCCCAACAATAACTCCAATCTCATGAAAACCTGTGGCTGCAGGCTAACAATGACTGAAATATGAAGAAAAATTATGCCAGAATTACCGAAGTGTCCTTTGAAATAAGAGGTTCACTTCTTTTTCTTCCCAATACACTGGGAAACATGCCTAAACTTTAACGTACTCCTATTGCTGTACAAAAAAACTTCTTTAACAGTGGTTACAATGATCATTTGTGAAAATAACAGCTCACCATTTCATTCGTAACAGGCAACCGTTTACGAAGAAGACAAGTCACTACTTCAACTATGGCATCATGAAGTTTAGGAAACCTCAACAACTCCTACAAATGATGGAAGAAAGAAAAATAGAACAGTCTGCCTTGTTTAAAGGAAAATTAAATAATCACCGAAACAGCAAATTAGACTTTAAGCTAAATTTAAGCATACTACTTCAAATCACTTTCCGATCGGAAAAATGCAGATTTTAAGTTACCTTTAGCCCATCTTCCATGTTTCCTCCCACCCCATGAAAACAGCACTTCCTGCTTTATACTACTTCACCTGACATGTGTGACATTTCGCAGTTACCTGTGTACTGTAATTGCTACAGTGCTGAATGATCCTTTGCATTTCCTCATGAACCAGTTCCACACAACGCAGGCTGGGTTCTTCCAGACGTTTGATTTGCCGCTTGACCAGTAACTCAAATGAAACTTCAGGCACAAACAAAGCAGGGCGAGGACCCTAAAAAAATTTTTGAGCTCTTACTATAGCTACACAAAATTTTAATTCTTCCCTAGGTTAAAATAAATCATGTTTTTTGGTATTTTTCATGAAAAGTGCTTCCTAATATCAAGTACGAGAGCAAAAATACAATTCATTTAAAAAGATACAGCTAATGGGTTAAAAATTATAATAAACCTTTAGCCTCTTTTCAAAAAATTCTAAAAGTTGAGCATACTCACAGTAGCATTTCTAATGGCAGTCAAAATGTCAATAGTGTTAAGGCCACCTAGTGGGTCAACAGATTCTAAAGTTCGCCCAAAAGTCTCATGGAAAATATAACATATCCTAGCACCACCGCATCTGAAAGGAAATGAAGTATATGGTTTCTATTATTACTAAAAGGGAAAGAAGCTACAAGTCAGAAGTCTTCCTATAAGCTTTTAAGGTCTTATTTTCTGAGAAAGTCTCAAATAATTACATTTAGATAATTTCCATGTGTTCTCAACTCCATTATGAACCAGTTTCTCTTCATTTTTTCTTTTAATGAAGAGTCATTCAACAAAAAGGCATTCATCACATGTATATGTGTGAGTTTGCGTGCACGGACACACACGCAATAACTGGTCAGAAACATCAGTTCACTAAGAACTACTAAACATCTTTTCTCTGCCCTAGTTTTCTTGACCATGAGCTTTTTAAAAGACAAGACACAGAATCTTCTTTATTTCTGTTTATCCACAGTTTACAGGAGACACAGACACTTTTCCTGTAAAAGACCAGATAGTAAATAGTTGAGGCCCTTCGGGCCACAGCGTCTGTGCCACACGACTCCGGTCTACCGCTGAGCACAAAAGCAGCTACAGACAAAATATGAATAAGCACAGCTGTGTGCCAGTGAAACTTATGCACACTAAAACTTGCAGTCTACATAATTTTCACGTCATGAAATATTCTTTGAATTTTTTTCAACCATGTAAAAATCCTTCTTAGCCAATGGGCTACGGTTTGCTCCTGCTTTAAACAAATAAGATCTCTATTCACGACTTCCTTACAGTTGAGCAGAAACTACTAGCCTAACATTACACTAAGTGAAATAAGCCAGACACAAAAGGACAAATATCGTAGGATTCCCCTCATATAAAATACCTAGAATTAGCCAATTCACAGAGACTGGAGGAGGAGGGAACAAAGAGATACTGCTTAATGGATAGAGTTTCTGTTGGGGTGATAAAAAATTATAGAAATAGATGCCATTTGATGATTGGACAATACTGTGACTTTAACTGAATGCCATTAAATTTAACACTTAAAAATGGTTAAATTACCAGTCTGCCTCCAACCTTCCCCTTCTCCACCTAATTTTCCTAACGACTAGAATTATCCTTCTAAAATGGGTACTCCTCTGACTGAAAGTGTTCTTTCAGTCAATTCTCCGAATTCTGAAGATTTTTGGCTTTCCACGATTTGTTCTGAGATGCCTTTGTTGCCTGCCTTCTGTTATATCCTGTCGCGCACATGCCCTTCTCCAAATACACCCGCAATATGCTTTGCTGTCCCAAAGCCTAAAACACCCTTCTACTTATTGCCTCCCAAATTCTATTCGGAGCCCAACCGAAACACATTCTTTTTTTTTTTTGCCTTAAGATTTTATTTATTTATTTGACAGAGAGAGGGAATACAAGCAGAGGGAGTGGGAGAGGGAGAAGCAGGCTTCCCACCAAAAGGGGAGCCCGTTGCGGGGCTCGATCCCAGGACGCTGGGATCCTGACCTGAGCCGAAGGCAGACGCTTAACGACTGAGCCACCCAGGCGCCCCAAACACATTCTTTACTATGACACTCTCCCAGTCCCTGAGAGAAATGTATATGGTCTCTCTTCAATGTTTTAAAGGCTTAAATGATTACAGATATTTGCTTTATTAACTACTTATAAAACTCCCCATATATGTTATAAGCACATTCTGGGTACGTATTATATTTAATAAGTATTTAAATAAAAATACTTGATTATACTCCTGTTTGCCACATAATTGTGCCTCCTGTTACCTTGTTCTACCTTACCCAATAAGTTTTTTAAAAGTTCATCTTAGTAATCTTTATTTCCCTCAATATGCCATATATATAATATATATTTCCCTCAATACTGCCGTGTGTGTGTGTGTATGTGTGTGTGTGTAAAATAACCCACCATTCACCAATTAGTTCAATACTGTCTTTATGGAGTTAACCCACATAAAAGGCCACCTGGGTCACACAAAAGTACACAGAAAATTCACGTAAGTGTGTGTATAAATTCACAAGTGGTGAAATCTGAATAAGCTCTGGGTTGTACCAGTGTCCATTTTCTCATTTTGTTACTGTACTATAGTTATGCAAAATGTCAACATTGGAGAAGACGGGGTGAAGGATTAACAGGACCTAGGAAGGTACATTTATTTGTAACTTCCTGGAAGTCTATAATTACTTCAAAATTAAAAGATTTTTTTTTTAAATAGAGTTCAGAGAAACGAACATTCTTTTATACTGCTAGTAGTAAAACAATACAATCTACTAACAGTATGGCAACAGTAAGAGACTTAGGATGTTCCTACCCTGTGACACAGTAATTCCATTCTAGGAATTTAGCCTAAGTGTTTACTTAGGCTTACATGCCCCCAAAATAGTGCACCACAACACTGTTTATATATGTGTAGGAATAAAAACGATCTACCAGTAGTAGAGTACTGGTTCAAGAAAAGAGTGTATCTAAAAAGTAAAATGCCATGTAAATTTTTAAGATTGACTATAGAAATCTATAATTAATATTAGTTGTTTGTGACACGGTGATTTAAAGAAATGATTCCAAAATAGCATGACAGTATTTTGATCTGATTTTTGAAATACATTTATAATGTTTTACAGATGCATAGAAAAATGTCTAGGTTCATGCCAAAATTAGCAGGGACTATTTCTGGATAGTGGAATTAAGTAAATTTGTCTTCCTATGCTTTTTATCTGCATTTTCTTTTTTTTTCCATGAAAAATTATACTGTGTCTATTAAAGAAACAAACATTTAAAAAGTTAAACTACCAAATATTTTTAAATACTTATCAAAGTCTTGTTTAAAAAAAAAAAATTTTTACTGTGCTTTACCTAAATTTACAAAGCATTTTTATACGTACGTCAGACATCATCCTGTAATTTCTGCAAAATACTATTCTGCAGATAACAAGTCACAATCAGAAAATCTCAGAGTTAAAGTCACTGTTACAAAAGCTAAAGTAACCCAGCAATTCAAGTAACCAAATCCATAGAGAAATTTTTTACTTACAGCTCTGAAGTTTCAATATATTTTGCAGTTCCTTCAATGGTGTTACAATATTCTGTGGCAAATTTGGTAATAAGTTGGAGTAAAGTAGCACTTTTATCATCCACAGGTTCACCATAGCTATTTAGGAGAGACTGATACTGAGCAGCTAGAACATTTATTCTTGTTTTCAACTCTGGTAGGCAATCTCTGATGTGATGCATCAGTAACCTAATAAAGGTTAGAAAGAAAAGATTTAAAGTAAAACTGTACTTTGAAGACCCCAATCAGTCAAATTTTTAAAATACCAATAATGGTAAAAGCTGTCAAATAATTTGTCCTGGCAGGAAATAATGCAATCTTGGGCTAGAAGTAAATGCTTCTTTACTGAAAAAAATGACATGAACAAAGACAACTTGGTCAACACTTTTTAAATTTGCCTTCAACCCATCAAACTATAGCATTTGCTAGAGAACCAAATATAAATTGAAAAAAATTTGATTTCTGACTTATCTTTTACAATGAGTACTTAGCACAGTGAAAATCAATCTTATTAAGATCCAAGTCCATCAGCCTTTAAATTATTTAGGGAATAAGACAAAGGTAAGAGAAAACAGCTTTCATTTCAGTCATTTATAAATTATCTAGAAAAGTTTTCCAGTCCCTCTACCATCAGTGGGTATTAAGGATTCAAGGTATATACTTTAAATTCTTTTTATGAGTAAGAATAGAAGAAGACATCCTAAAATAAGAATTATGTGAAAATTACACATTTTAGTTTAGGTCCTGAAATCCCAAGTGGAAATTAAGTCATCTGCTACCTAGTTCTATTACCAAAAGTAAATTGACTGTCAAGAACTTCATAATTAAGACATTTTAAAAATTCTCGTGAGCATTCCTAGACTACATAATTTAATGCCAACCACCTGAATTAAAAAAAAGACATCTACATTAGAAGAACCTACTGTACAAGTAACAAAACCTGAAACTGTACACACAAGAATGTCATGAAAATGTAAGGAACTAAAAATGAGAGCTCTCAGATACCTACTGGCAAACCAAAAGGACCTCAAAAATGTTACCTGTTTAGAGTCCTAGCAAGATACTTTGTTCCATTTCTATTAGCCAGAGATGGATATTTCTTTTGAAGGAAAGCATATTCATCACGGATTGAATCAGTTACACTCTTCTTATTGTTAATATCTAGCTGGCTCCTAAGGTTGAAAAATAACAAACTGTTTAATGAAAAGTCAGTTGTGTCCTCTACATACCTTAGATGATGATGGTAGCACCAGACATTGTAGTAATGCCCGATATGGATTGTGTTATCTAATTCTTGCAATAGTTCTATGCAGTAGGTATTATCCCATTTTACAGCAAAGGAACCAAGGTTCAGGGACATTAACCTACCCAAGGTCACACGTTAAGCACTTCCGCCAAAATTCAATCTGTGACTTGTAATACCTGAATAGTTTAGGCCTCATTGTTACCATTAACTCCTGTCAAAAGCAGTACTCTGAAGTAACAGGGACAGACAGGTGAAAAAAAGTGTAAGTATGATAACCAGCTGTATATTTTATCCATATACAGACAACTAATTTCTACCAAAAATAATTAACTTAAAGAGCAGTCATTTACAAATGCAACGGTTTTATACCATGAAAAGGGGGGACAGATTAAAAAAAAAAAAAAGCTGAAGTATGGGTGAGGTAAGACATATGAATAAAGCAGACAACTGTAAAGGATCTTCAGTATCACTAGTAAAAACATTGTCATTTAGAAAAGGCCTGAGACCCAAAGATGTTAGGTGTCATTTAAATCCACATTATATATCTAGTTTATGGACAAACTAGGAGTAGAACCCAGATCTCCTGTTAATTTCAGTGCTTCCTAGTTTATAAAGTCTTTAAGAGAGATGTTCATTTGAAATCTGCTTTCACCATGTGACTTTGGTAGATGTATAACTTGAGTCTTCTGATTATAAAATAAACATCAACCCCTACCTCACAGAGATGTTGTAAGGGTTCAAAGAGATACCATTTGCAAACTGCTCACAGGAGAGGGTCTAAAACATAGACACTCAATAGTAGTTTCCTTTCTACAATTTTTGATAGCAGCTATTTATAATTAGGATACCTTTAATAAAATAACTCCAAGTCACATCCTGGCAATTATGAAGGATCACTAATGCCAGAGGTGTTAGACCAATTTATTTAAATCCTACTACCTTATTAACAAACTTTTTCTTGATTGCATGCAAATTAAATAATACGTTTGTTTTTTTTTCTTATCCAGTGCACCCCTCATATATAACATAATAAGCAGAAATTTTTCAAGCCAATTAAATTTTCTTCCATTTTATGGACTACTTACTTTAAAAACACTTTCCATTACAAATGCCCACAGGAAGCTTTCATGAATCTCTTTTCTTCCTTTAGAGCAATGAATTCCTAGCAATACCAAGATTATGGTAAAAGGGGAAAAGAGGGATAATATCACATTTTAGGCTGCTTTTAAAAATACAGATCTGGGGGCCCTGGGTGGCTCCGTCATTAAGCGTCTGCCTTCGGCCCAGGTCATGATCCCGGGGTCGTGGGATGGAGCCCCACCTGGGATGGAGCTGTGTCTCTGTCAAATAAATAAATCTTAAAAAAAAATGTTTTAAAAAAATTATTTAAGAGAGAGAGAGACAGCGAGAGAGGGAACACAAGCAGGGGCAGCGGGAGAGGGAGAAGCAGGCTTCCCGCTGAGCAGGGAGCCCGAGGCAGGGCTTGATCCCAGGAACCCGGGATCATGACCTGGGCCGAAGGCAGACGCTTAACAACGGAGCCACCCAGGCGCCCCAATAAATAAAATCTTTAAAAAAAAAAAAAAATCATATCTGCTTTGAAATGGGAATGCTGCAATTCTTATCCCATTCTTGATTGCTAACCTGTTAACTACTCCAATTATTCCAAGTTTGACTGGTATAACCCTTCCCATCAATACATCCATGGCATCAGTACCCGCATCCATGAGGTCAAGTTTAGTGATTACAGCTAAGGTTCTGCGACCTGGTAAATGCAAAAAAAGAAAAGAAAATGATCCATTAAATAAAGCTATTAGGTATTAATAAAGAAAAATCCTCATCTATAATCCCTCCAACATTACCTCTGTCATCATTTTGATAATGCTTTTCTAACCTTTGCTTACAAATACTTTTTAAAAACTAATTTTAGGGACACTTGGGTGGCTCAGGCAAGTCGTGATCTCAGGGTCGGGAGATCAAGCCCCTTGTTAGGGCTCCAGGCTCAGCGGGGAGTCTGCTTGTCCCTCTCCCTCTTCCTCTGTCCGTCCCCAGCTACTGTTCCCTCCCTCTCTAATAAATAAAATCTTTAAAAAAAAAAAAAAAAAAAAGAGTCACATGCTCTACTGACTGAGCCAGCCAGGTGCCCCTAGAGCTTACCTTTTAATCTAAAATGACGTGTGGTAAAAATTTCTTAAAAACTTTAAAAAAAAAAAACTTTAAAAAAATTACTGTTTATGGTCATTTTAATTAGCAGTTATAGCATTAACTTTTCCTACCAGATTTTTATTTCAAATTCTTCTTCAAAGCAGGAAAAAAGAAACATGACACAGCTCACAGAACCTCCAAATACTCAGGTAAAAAAAAATTAGCTCCTCTATGAAGCAAAGCTACATTTATTAGCACCAATAATAACTACTCGCCTACAAGCTGCCATTTTATATATACTAAGAGATGCACACCACAGCATTAGTCAAATACCATACACTGACCCACAGTATGAACTAAATTAGGATTTATGAACATAATCCTTGGGGTTATGAATGCTTCATAAAAGGATTTTACCTTTATTTCTAAGAACTTCCTCTGTCTTGTCTAAATGTATTCTACCTCTGCAGAATGTAGATAGCACAGTTTTCTACTATACCATAAGAATGTACAATGATTACCTATTATGACAGTTATTCTTTGAAATCAGCCATTCAAAAATCTAAATCATTTTATTTATACAAAACAAACCCTCTTTGCAAAGCCCATCTTATAATTTTAAAATCATGAGGCAACCATTACAAATATGAACATTATGTAAAGTGTTTTTGCCTTGACTATACAGCAACTAATCCATTAAAACTTTATTTTCCATCAGAATTTCTATTTCTAATTATAAGTAAAATAGGAATGCATTATTTTTTAAATCTATATTAACAGCTAAAAAAATTACTTTTAAAAATAAGTATTCCTTTCTTGAGGGTAGATTTACCACTGTTAACCAAGCATCTCAGTCAATATTAACATCTGTCCTTACCATCTGGATCTACCTCTCTTGAAATCTTAAGTGCCTCTGATGTTGCCATATCTGTATTAGCAGCAGTGACAGCAAGGATGATGGAATTTGGATTACTGATGAACCGAAGAATGAGCTCTCTGATTTGAAGCTCAATATCCTTAGGTTGATCACCTACAGGCACCTGAACCAAACAGAGATGAGCAAGAAACTAATAATAAAAATCAACTCAGCTTCCCCCACCCCCATTTAATCTACAGAATATAGGTATTACTCCATTCACAGAGAGTTAAAATGAAGAAAGTATATACTACTACTAGTGGTATATATGAATTTGGTAGTATATGAAAGTCTCAAAACCTATCTCTTGCAAATATCAAAAGTTTACCATGTAAAAGATTGGTCAATGATAACTGCCTAGAGACAAATTCATTTGTTCATTCAATTAGCAAGTATTTATTGGCAGCCTACTATATTTGAGGTGCTGTTCTACATCAGATATGTCACAGCAGTGATTAAAAAAAAAACCGAGGGGCGCCTGGGTGGCTCAGTTGATTAAGCGTCTGCCTTCAGGTCAGGTCATAATCCCAGGGTCCTGGGATCCAGCCCTGCATCGGGCTCCCTGTTCAGCAGGAAGCCTGCTTCTCCCTCTCCCACTCCCCCTGCTTGTGTTCCTTCCCTCTCTGTGTCAAATAAATAAATAAAATCTTTAAAAATAAATAAATAAAAATAAAAAAAGACTGAAATTCCTGTCTTCATAAAGTTTATATTTTAATGATGAGAAGTAGATAATAAGCAAATACATATATATAGTATCTAGGTGGTGGTAGAGCTATGGAAAAAATTAAGCAGAACAAGAAGCTAGGGAATGATTAGAGAAGGTTATACTTTTAAATAATTATTGGATTATGCTTTTAAATAGAGTAATGAGGGAAGAAGTCATTCAGAAAATGACATTTAAGAGAATGAGCAGACAGTGGGAAGCCTGCTGCTCCCCCTGCTTATGCTTGCTTGCTCTCTCTCTCTGACAAATATTTTTTAAAAGATTAAAAATTAAATAAAAAAAAAGAATGCGCAGAAACTGAAAGAGATAACAGAGAGGTATATGCAGCTATCTGGGGGAAGAATATTCCAGCAGAATGAACAGTAAGGGCAGAAAACTGGAGCAGAAAAAGAAGAGTAACAGGGATACTTTCTCTTTTAAGAACTTACCCCCTTACCATGAAGGAGATGAAAAGCCATTGGAGAGATTTTGAGCCAAGGAATGACACAATCTAATTTTCACCTTAATAGCATCACGCTGGTTGCTTTCTTAAGAAGAGGTTATGAGGAAGACCTATTAGGAGGTTATTGCAGTAATCCAGCTGACAGGATAGTGGCTAGATCAGGATGGTAGCTATAAATTTGTAAGATATAATGGAATTCTGAATATATTTTCAATGTAAGGAGAGCCAAAAGGATCTTCTGAGAAAGTAGGGTATGGAATAAAAAGTGTCATGGATGACTACAAGCTTTTTGGCTAAGCAACTGATAGAAGAGAGTTGCCATTTATTGAGGTGGGGGAGACTACAGAAGGATCGAGAAGGTTGAGGGATAGGTCAGAAATTCAGCGTAAGACACATCAGGTTTGAAATGCCTATTAGACACTTTAGTGTACATGTCAAATAGACAGTTGGATATACAAGTCTGGAGATGTTTACATGCTGTCAGCATACAGACACTCATATATTTAAAAAGCCATAGTTTGGATAAAATCATCAAGGAGGGGTAAGTGTACCCAACTGACAAGAGGTCTAAAAACAGCTCCGAGGCACTCACTGTGGAGACACTAGGAAGATAAGAAACCAGCAAAAGAGACAGAGAAGGAGTGGCCAATAAGACTAGAAAGAAACCTGCGGAGTATGTTATCCTGGAAGCCAAGTAAAGAAAGTGTTTCTAGGAGAAGGGAGGGCTCAACTATATCGATGCTGCTAATAGTCCAAGTTGCCTCGGGGGGGGGGGGGGGGGGGGGGGGAGCTGATTATTCTCATATGAGGTCAAGCAAAACCCACCACAATTGCAAACAAACATAACCAAATCCACAATGAGTAACAACTAATCTTTACCTTGGTCATTCCTGGCAAATCCACAAGTGTCAGATTGACAACATTGGGTGAAAAAATCTTAAGATGAATTGGCTCAGGGCTTACTCCCTAAAAATAGTTTTAAAATATCATATTAAAATCACATTAAAATTTCAGTGAAATATAAAATGCTAAAGTACACCTCATTTCAAGCAGATAGGTGTTAGATGCTTTTAAATACGAATTAAACCATGAACATTTCAATAATCAAAACCTGATGAAATACATGGCAAGTAAGACAGACAGCCATATACCAGGTGATAATCTTATCCAATCCTATAACGTTAATATACAAAATGTATTTCCCCTGCATTACTTCACATTCTTTTCTCTTGATTCTGAACAGACACAACTTCTTCAATATGTTTAATAGACTTAGTGCTGAACAAAAGAAAACTGTATCATGATCCAAATTTATGAGGTTCTTGAGTAGAGAGTGAGGCACGGGGTAACAAGTTATCCAAATCAACTTGGTTCCTAATCTTTGAATATCAAGTAGCAAAAGTGTATGTTGTAAGAGATTCCTCGGAAAATTTATCCGTATCTTCAGATCCCTGAATTCAACTAGTGAGAATTTGGATAGTGAGAGATACCTCTATCTTCTCTCCCCTAGACTGAGATTATTATCCAGGTTGCCTTCTCTCCACCACTGGCCCTCTACAAGTTTTACAGCTGAGCCAGCTGCATGTAAAAAGGCACACAGAAAATGTGCATGACTTATCTTTGCAAATGCCCTTCTTCATCCCTGAAAACGTCCTCCCATCTTACCTACCTTCTATCTTCTTTCATTAACCCAATGAAAATGCTAATTTCCCAGAAAGCTTTCTTGGAACATCCTTTACTCTGAGGTATATTAGATTACTCCAAACTACTTTTCTATTTCAAATACACCAATTTCCAGAGTCATATGCTGACATTCAGAATACCCACCTAGGTTGTGTACTTCTCAGGCACTCACTCCCTTATCATGTCCAATACAAAGCTTTGCTCAAATGCCTTTACAATTCCAATCTCACAGATATTTTAAATCCTTCAGGGCTTTATGTTAGGCATATGAAATCATTTAGATATTTATACATATAAAATTACTTACATAAGATCAAAGTATCATTTACTTCATTACAAACATGTCTTAAGAAAGGAGAGACTTTTCACAGATTTGGGGGTAGGGGACTTCTCATCCTTTGGACGCTGTGGGTAAGAAAACCTGCTAGGTAAGTATATCACATCCCCACCATAAATTAAACATCTTGTTGGTATACAGACCCAATCTTTCATGACATTCAGTTTAGTGTAACTAAAACTTTCCTTTCTGAAACACTAGTCACATCCACTCTAAATTCTAGTCCTATGTAAAATTACCACCAATTCCTAAGTTCAGTAACCCCATGGCGATGCAGGAAGAGAGAATTCAGACTGGTATTATGATTAATAACATCCCCAAAGTCAAAATTATCCCCAATACAATTACAAGACTGAGGACAAGCTAACCTAGCTCCTTGCCACATTTTCTACCTCTTCTATACAACACGATTAATTAGAAATTCAAGGAAGTATGGTAGCAGCAGCAAAGGTTACCAGTCCAATAATAAACAAAGCTCAGTCGGTCAGAGAGCTAAATATCCTGACTAGGCACAAAGAACTAATACGGCTCCCAAAATGCCTTTTTGTCAGAACCTCTCCAGCAGAGTACCTGGCAGAATAAAGGGCTCAATGAATACTTGTTGAATTATTAGTACTGCGCTTGGGTTCACCTGTGGGATTAAACAGCCTCTGGATAACACAAGAATGGAGGTTTAAAAAAAAAAATTTTTAAAAAGGAAGGGAACTGAAAGGTAGCAAGAGTAAACAAAGGAGAGAAAGCAGAAGCATTTATGGGAAGCAGTGATCGTGCCTGGTGTCAAGATTAATGGCATCTTGGACACCTAATTGACTTCAAATTCTCACAATATAAGAAAACAGGAAAACAGTTAACATTAGTTTTTATTTTCATTCAAACAACCTCTCTCTTTGCTTTCATAAGTAAATCTAGCCTTACTCAGGTAAGAAAGAGAGGTCTTCAAAATCTCAGAAGTTACATAATGCCTCTTGAGTTAGAGTACAATCCATGAGATGAAGATAATTTATTGTAGCAGTATTAAATAGAAAAGTTATACAAGTGGTATGTACATCACAAGATCAAGAATAAACATCTAAATGAAATATCTAATAGTATATAAAAGCTCTAAGAAAGAAATGGGATTTTAAGTAAAGTTTTTATATATTTGTGAAAATCTCCATTAGTTTTGAATACTACGACTATGAATTTACAATGCCCATCATACATTATATACAGAATACTCTCAATGCTACATTTACTGACGTTTCTATGTTCCAGCTCTAAAAGATGCCTACCTTATTATTTCCTGAAATCCTTTCTGTTTCATTTTCAATTTCTTGTCGAATTTCATCAAAATCCGTGTAAAGCTAAAAATTATTGAAACAAAAAGCGCAACACTCATAGTAAGACCAAGTTTTTAAGTGAGGGGTTAAAAAATTTCAAAAATGTCTATGGATCTGCTTCACAGAATTAGTAAATTCTAACATACATGTATTTTCTGAGCCAAGGAGTTCTATATGTTTTTCAAAGCTGCCTGATTCCACAACAGTTAATTTCCAAATTACAATAAAGCTCGACTTAATGTGTTTTCCAAATAAACTGCAATGGTTAGAAATGTTACTAAGATAAGATTATTTTATAAGGAACAGTTGCTTCAAGGTAACATACCACACTGCCAATGATAAGAAACTAAATTGTCAAATACTTGTACAAAAAAATTTTTCAATTTTGTTATTTCTTCATAATATTCTTGTGTGATTGATTACCTTATTTTTGGTGTGAAGAAATTTACCCCATTCTTCTGCTTCAACCCCTGAAAAAGAAAAATCCGTTTATTGGGAACTATGGGAATTACCTTTTTATCTTAGGAATTCAAAAAGGCAACATAGTATCATTTGTTTCTAAAATTCTAAAAATTTTGCCACTGACAAGCAATACTTTAAGATCTACTAAATTATACTTTCAATATTTTAAAAATTGTATCCTATATTTCAAGAAGTGACTATTTACAGTTACTCACAGGTCTTCCTTTAGAAATCTAGATTCTACAAATAAAATTGTTCACTTCTCTTCATATTTTGTACGTAATTATATCATAACAGAAGTATATGCTTTGTTTTTAAATATCTTACACATAAAGCAGTTTATATAATGAAAGTAACTCAAGCAAATGGCTAAAAGAAGAAAAACTAAGAATCCTACTGAGTAACACAAAAAGCACATATAATAGATTTACACATATACCTCAAGGTAAAAATTTGCAGTATGTGAATGAAAACAGCTATTAAATCCATTTTTTTTTAATTTGGTTTCCTACTGACTACCTTTAAGCCACAATGTGTTGTTCCTTTAAAGAGTTCCCTCAGTAGTGCATTCTGTGATTTATATGCACTTTCAAGGTGATTTTCCCCCTTTGGAAGTGAAGGTTGGAAAGAAATGAAATGAGTGTGTGTTGGGGAGGAGGGTGGGACGGACAGACCCTAGCATAACTATTGTACAGAGTCGCTATTTTCCATGAAGTTTCCAGTAATAGGTCTGTTCTTCCTGCACTTGCTGAAAAAAAGGAAAATATATTCACTGTAGGCACTGTTTCAAGTAGTCTAAATCTTGGCGAGTAAGTTTTCTAGTTTTCTCAGAGAAACTAGACATGTTTAATTGTACAAAGGTAACCTAACTGCCTTCCCTAAGCACAGCTATTCTGCTTTCGCCAAATTTAGAGTTTTAAATATCTTCATGACCAAGTTTATGAATAATGCATATCAGCCACTGAAATCAAAATAAAAATGACTAAAAGATATTCCAATAAATATTGAAGAAAAAGGGATTCGATTGTTTGGTGGAAATAAGGTAAATAAAACTGGATCCTTTTTGCAAGTAAAATGCTCACCTACTTGAAGCTTAGTACCTTCTTCCAAGAAGTCTCATTGGAGGACTGGAGTAATCCAGGTGAACAGAACTCACAGAAGCAAGTACTACATACCAAAGGGGTGTTTTTAATTTACCTTATCATATACAAGAGGCCTGGCTTAACAAGCATGTTTTTAAAAATAAAAATAAAATAAATTACATTCACCACCAAAAAAAGCCTGCATTCTGATGCAATGCCAAGAGGTAACGAGAACCACCTGCAATCAATCAATGTGGATAGGCAAATAAAAATGGAAGAAAAATAACGGACACAGCCTGTAAGAGTACATAAGCACACATGCAGGCATACTAGAAAAAGAAGGGCCAAAAACAAATGGATAAAGGAAACCTTTAGAAAGGTGTCTTGAGTTTTTCCATGTAGCAGGGTCTGTAGTTAAAGAGAAACAGCACAGAATGATAAGTTTAGTGCTTATCCCTAATATTTTAAACCTCTTTAAAAAATCCAATGTGCAGAAACCTGAACACATTTCAAATGCACAGAGCATTCAATTACTCAAAATTTACAACTGTAATTCCCACTACCATTAATTATAATTAAAGGGATGTAGAGATTTTAAGTGATATAAATGAAGCATACTATGTGTCATAATTTACTGTTATTTTCCATTACAACTAATTGTGTTACCTCTGGTTTCTAGTTCTAACACAACTGGATTAAACTTAATTCACTCTCCAAAAATTTGCCTTAAACATTTGATATATCTGATATCTATGACTATGGGAAAAGATAAATTGCCTGGTACAAAAAAATCTACAAAGCATACCAAACACATCTTTCAACACCTCGAAAGTAAATATTTACAAGTATTTACCCTATTCACAAAGATTGAGCTTTATAAGAGATTATTATGTTCTTTGAAATATATACTGAATTTAAAAGAACACAAACAATTTTCGTCTTTAATCAGCATGCTACTGTTGGATTTTGCCTAAAAAGAAATCTGAGGAAAGCTTGATTTATTTCTTAAAATATATGAAAGATAATCATGAAGTTCAAAGTTCATACTAAACCACCATCTTACTCTAATGTTTCTGGTAAGATTTTATCAGAAAATTCTTTTACACTGGCAAAAGGGGGTGCAAGCTGAGAAATTCTATACATTGACACCTCAATTATCATATCTGGTTGGCAGAATGAAGGATTTCCACACTGAATAAAATTTCCCGATAATTAAATTATGTCTATTAAACATTAAAATATTTTTGGGGCACCTGGGTGGCTCAGTCTTATAAGCGTCTGCCTTTGGCTCAGGTTATGATCCCGAGGCCATCAGGCTCCCTGCTCCATGGGAAGCCTGCTTCTCCCTCTCCCACTCCCCCTACTTGTGTTCCCTCTCTCACTGTGTCTTTGTCAAATAAATAAAATCTTAAAAAAAAAAATAAATAAATAAACATTAAAATATTTTCATCAATTTTGATGGACCTGTATCTAAAAATGGATTATACTACTCCATGTCATTCTAAAACTAACCTATTATTGGTAACTTGGGGCTTTCTTACATAACAAAGCCCTCTGAGGCTATAAATCCCTATACAAAATGGTTAGAGACTGATTTTTTTCTTTTTTGAAAGTTCCGTCTGGTTATGTTTTCCTTCTTTTCTCCTCTCTGGTTGTCAGACTGTCAGGTAGTTCATACTCTTGTGGCTAACTAAATATTTATCTGGTTCATTGTTTCTGATTTTCTCTGGGTTACAAAGATTTATGATAAGGTAGACTGTTTATCCTGAGGATAAAGAGGCTCTGGTGAGAAACTAAGGAACTATGCTAGTTATTAATAGGACATACGAAATTTAATACTCAAAACTTATTTAATCCACTTTGGGTTCTGGGTAGCTGAGTTGTCATTTTAAGTGAGGTTTTGTGTTTTTTTATATAAAATATAAGCACTAAGGTTTGAAAAAATATATATATAGGTTAAGATACGCAGATTTGCTGACCACCACCAAGAAGAGACACATGAACAAAACATAGTGAACATACAAGCAGAGATACTGAGGAACTGACATTTCTGTAGCTGAAATGCACACCCTTTTCTAAAAACACTGCCCAGCTCTGCAAATAGTTTCTGAGAGGCAGGATATCTATCATCTGCCTTTTTCATGGTGACTGAAGAAAATAAAAAGTTAAAAGAAAGAGACCTAATTAATGCCATATGGTTTTTTAAAGTCTTAGTTTAAGGTATTTGGTAAATTTGATGACATAAGTTAGTGGGAATGAAATTTTAAGGGTTATTCTATATATATATAGATGAAGCTGAACCACAGGTTAGTTCAAAATGATTAAATTCAAGGCTCAGAATTTCAATAATAAAGAAATATTACAGAAATGCAAAGTGATGAATAATATACCAAGACACTTCCTAATATAATTAAGAGGCTCCTACATATCCTCTGGCAGTTTATCCAAAAATATTACTTAACATCTACAACTTCATTAACCTGCTTCAGTGATTAACTTTCTACATCATGACAGGGTTTTTTTACTTCTTTAAAAAAAAAAAAATCAGGCTATCACCACCAATGTTCCATCATATAATAATGGAAAAATAAGATACAAATTAAAGTAAGTTCAATTTCATCAATACTATCATCCCTTCTTAGGTCAGAATCTAAGAAGTAGAATGAAAGTGCACTGAAAACAGATCTCTGCAGATAAGTAACAAACATGGTACTCTGCTGCAAATGTAATAATTACAGCATTTTACAGACTTTTATAAATAAGAAAGTCTGAGCCAAACACTGAACAAGGAAGATTAAGTATATTATTTTCATCAAACATTCCAACCTCATTAATATAAATAGGACACATACTTAATAAGCAATTTAACATCTGTTTATAGACATAGCATTTCTCAAAATATTTTCAGTTTAACCAAAGAAAGACTGCTATAAAGGACAGTGTATATTTTCTTATCTTAATATTCCACATTTACTATTGCAGGAGTGGGTGGATCTTAAAAATCAGAATAGTATGTGCTATGTAGGTAAGCCTTAGCAAGAGAAGGATGGTAAAAAAAATAAAAATAAAAGAACCAAAACCCTTTCTAAAAATAATATTTTAAAAGCTTAAAGGGCAAAAGATTCAAAATTAGCAGGTACATGGTAAGACCAAAAAAAGGGAAGGTGAGATAACACTGCTATACTGAAAAGCAAAGTCATTTTAATTGTATTTAAAATCTTTAAAATCTAAATTATTTAAATTTCTAAATCAAAGTTAAAAAGTAAAAGCATTGTTTTAAACACTAGGGAAAAAAGCTTATTAAAACACTCCAAAAGACACAACTTTTTTCTTTAAAATAACTGATTCCAATTTACCCAGTGCCCCACTAAATCCTCCCTAAGCATTAGTGACAGTTTACTAATAAGCTGAATTACCAAAAAGGTACTATTCCTAACAAGTCTACTCATGGTCCTCAAAACAAAACTTACTCTTTTTTCACAAGAGAAATGATGCATTCCACTTCTCTTCACAGGACTCCTGCTTTTATTATAGCCACTGATTTGTCTAATCAATTCATGATTTTTTAAGCAAAATTCACAAGCAAAAATGAAGAATTTTTAAACAATTTTTATTCCAATTCTAAAATTTACCATTTTCTTCTCCTGTTGTTTTTCGCTTATCTTCGGGTGAAACATGGACTAGCTGCAGAATGAGAGGTCTCCGGGTGACAATACCAGTGCCTCTGGGAAGCAGGTCCCTCCCCACCAGGCTTTCTAGCACTGAGCTCTTTCCACTGCTCTGAAAACAGAATACACAAGACCAAAATTAGTTTCTCCACAGATTTTTTTTTAAGATTTATTTATTCATTTGAGAGAGAGAGCACGTACACACATGAGCACGGGGGAGGGGGGCACAGAGGGAGAGGCAGAGAGAGAATCTCAATCAGACTCCCCGCTGAGCACAGAGCCTGACACAGGGCTCAATCTCACAACCTGAGATCATGACCTGAGCAGAAACCTGGACACTCAACCAACTGAGCCACCCAGGCAACCCCCCCCCAGATTTTCTTTTAAAAGATTTTATCTATTTTTTGACAGAGAGAGAGAGAGCTCGTACAAACAGGCGGAGGGGCAGGCAGAGGGAGAGGGAGAAGCAGACTCCTCGCTAAGCAGAGAGCCTGACACAGGGCTCAATCCCAGGATTCTGGGATCATGACCAAAGCCAAGGCAGATGCTTAACCAACTGAGCCACCCAGATGCCCCCCTCCACAGATTTTTTTTTTTTTTACAACTCAATAAAACTATACTAATAATGCACCATACAAAGAAATTAAAGGAAAAATTACTGCAAAGATGTTTAAAATTAAAGTTGTTACATTTTCTATTATATGATCTTTGTTTATAGTAAAAAAAATTAAAGTCCCACTCTCCCCCGAAAATTTAAAAAATAAAAAATAAAAGTCCCACTCCCTTATAATTTTCCCACCTTTTTCGATACTCCCAACCAGGTTTTCAAAACTTGTATAATACTGGTATGTAACATTATGCCTATGAGAGTATTTACTTTAAATGGGGTAGTTCTATAACCTGCTTTTATTTTTAATGTAGCAATTACGGATAATATTCCATATCAGTATACTAACTTCTGCGTTTAATAGTTAAGTAGTATTCTCCTGTTTGTAAAGCCAAACACTGACTTGGGCATTTAAATGGTTTTCGCTACTGACAACGCTGCAGTGCACGTACTTTATACATATAACCTTACTCACATATTACCTTATTAGTTTTATTCATTAAATGAAATAGCTGTGATTAAAGAGCATAGAGGTTTTAAGCATTCACAGATATTGTCAGACTGCACACAAGATGGCAGGAACCAAGCCATACTTCCCATGCAATTTGCTACACCGCCATCAGCACTGGGCATTATCACTTTTTTGAACCTTTGCTACTTTGATAGATGAACACTGACAACTCATTTAAATTTACATTCCTTTATTACTAAAGTCAAGGACCGTTTTGTTTAAAGGCTTTCTGTATTTTTCAGTGATTGTTCAGATGCTGGCATTTTATGTTTATTAGCTTATAAAGCTCTTTATCCATGTAAGTATTTCATTTTTTGCTCTGACTATTCTACAACTTTTTATTTTGAAAATTTCAAAGCCACGAGGGTTTTCAGAATTATTAACAGTGGATGTTCATATCTTAACAAAGATGCACCAATTAACGTTTTGACACATGCTTTAGGTCTGTTCTTAAACACACACACTTCTTTTTCTTCTGTTCTATTTGAGTTAATTATATATATCATGACACTTCATCCCTAAATATTGCAGCATATCTATCTCTAAGAACATTTACAAGGGCATTCTTCTATATAACCGTATGCAATGATCACACTCAGGAAACTTAACATAGATACAATACTAAAAAACAGTAGATTATCAAATAATATATAAAACCCATATTCTATACATCTTCAATGTTTATAAATTTATTTTCTTAACTTTATAATATTTTCTGTACAGAATATTTTTTCTATGCTATACTTCTTCTTAGTCAAAACTAGTACAACTTTTACTTTCATATTTTCTACAAAGGCAAAAATACTAAATTCATCTATTGTATCAGAAAGAATCTACAGAAAGCAGATGGCCCACTCAAGTTAGGTTAATTTAAGGAGAATTTATTTACAAGCAGACTGTATACAAAGGGTAAGGCTCACAGAAATCACAAGGGATAGTACAATAACCCAGGCTAGTAACAACAGAGAAGTTCTTACCACCTACAGGCCATGAAGAAAAAACTAGGATTTTGAGAAGAGGGAGAGCCAGCCCAGGGCATGTACATATGGAGAATGAGCCACAGGAATAAATACCCAAAGTTTAATCTACAATTCCTGCCAGGCTCCCCATTTCCAAATCCTATCAGATGCCAGAGGACATAGGGGCCCATTCATGTTGTCCAGATGGGTCCCCTCTGATAAAGAACAGGAATGTTGACTGGAATGGTCAAATTGAAGATTGTGTGTCACACCTGGTATTGCCAGGTTTTAGTGTCTTGGTTTATGCCTCTCATTAAGAAAAATGGGGTGATTTCTATCATTTCTTTTCTGTATTCTGTATTCTAAAAAAATCTGAACATGGAAATTTCCTGTTCTTTATGCATTTGATGAAACCTGTCCATAAAAAAAAGAAACCATCTAACTCCCAGAATTTTCAAATTTACAGGTATAACTGCTTATAATATTCTTAGAAATTGTTCATTTTTCTTCTAATATTGTGTCTTTATGTTGTCGTTTCTTCTAGCCAGATTTTCCAGGTTTTTTTTTTTTAAGATTTTATTTATTTGACAGAGAGAGACACAGTGAGAGAGAGAACACAAGCAAGGGGAGTGGGAGAGGGAGAAACAGGCTTCCCACTGAGCAGGGAGCCCGATGTGGGGCTCGATCTCAGGACCCTGGGATCATGACCTGAGCCGAACGCAGATGCTTAATGACTGAGCCACCCAGGTGCCCCTTCCAGTTGATTATTAAATTGATTTTACTGGTCAAATCTTTTACTGATTTCATTTTATAGTTATTTTTCTAATACTGTTAATTTCGACTTCTTCCCTTCTCCCCCCAAAAAATGAGGGGTTATCTTTTCTTTTTAAAACTCCTGGAGTTAAACATTTAGTTTATTTCTCTATCTCAGCTACCAACACTTGCCCCACCCATCCCATACACATACATACATTTCTCAAACTGAGTTGTCTCTATCTTTTCCTCTGTACAAAGAATTATGATTCTCAAGGACACAGTTCATGACAGAATTATAATACACAATTACTCATTTGCTTTTATTTCACATTAGTCTCCAAATATTACCAGTGTTACCACCACCAATAAGATAACTGAAAATTGCTTTTTAAATGTTTTGCATTTAACCCCTCCATTCTCTTTCCTACCTCTTTACAGACCCCTTTTTAGCCATCATTTGATTCTGCAAGTGTCATGCTAACATAAGTCCTTATATTAATGCCTCTCTAGTCATTTTGATTCTCTGAAGCTTGTTCTCTAGTAGATTCCTCAGGAGGGCTAACGGAAACAATATCCTTCAAATTCTAGCATACATACAACAGTTTGTGACTTTTATACTTGAAAGTTAGCTTGTTATATATAAAATCTTGGGCTCATACACTCTTGAATATCTTAGATATAAAATTTCCACAATAAATTGTGTGTTCTCTAGTAAGTCTTCTCATAAATATGTCTTCTCTCGGAGCACCTGGCTTGTCTGCCTTTGGGTCAGGTCATGGTCCCAGGGTCCTGGGATGGAGCCCCACATCAGGCTCCCTGCTCGGCGGGAAGCCTGTTTCTCACTCTCCCACTCCCCCTGCTTGTGTTCCCTCTCTCGCTACGTCTCTGTCAAATAAACAAACAAAATCTTAAAAAAAAAAAAAGTCTTTTCTCAAGAATGGTTACTGTTGAAAAGTATAACAATAATCTGATTTTCCTTCTCTTATAAGAGACTTTCTGAATTCTTGCCTGCATGTCTGAGAGCTTTCTATTTTTCCTTTAAAGTCCAATAATTTTACTAGACTATGTTATGTGTCCGGGTTGGTCTCTCTGTGTCAATGTTCTCAGGTATATGCTGTGTTTTTTCAAAATGGAATTCCAAATCTGTTTTTAATTCAGTTAAATTTTTAGTATCTGTCCTGTTCCCTTACTATCTTTATATTCCTCTGGGGGAGGGGGCTCCCATTATACATATGTTGGATCTTCTTTGCTTGTTTTCAATATGTTAACTTCTGTCAAATTCGTTTTACAACTCTCTTAACCTTACTTTTTTTCAAGTTTCTCATAATTGTACATTTATAGTAGCATGCTTCAGTAACTTTAAAGTAAAAGGTAACAGTCCTATAAATTACTGATGAAGTACAATAAAGAATATCTGTGTTGCACATTTAAATCACTTAATTTTTTTACTTTTTTAAAATATACTTTTTAAAGATTTTATTTATTTGACAGAGAAACAGAGCACAAGCGTGGGGAGAGACAGAGGGAGAAGCAGGCTCCTGGCTGAGCAGGGAGCCTGATGAGGGGCTTGATCCCAGGACCCTGGGATCATGACCTGAGCTGAAGGCAGATGCTTAACCGACTGAGCCACCTGGGCACCCCTAAATCACTTTAAAGAACTCTGTCATTATCTACATCAAGAGTTATCTACATAGATTTTTATATAAAATAAGAATTAGAATTAAACTGCTACCTGGTTTCCATTTTTCTTAAAATGATTTAATGTGCATAGATTGAGTCATGTCTGAATATTTATTCTCTACATGATGGACTCTCCGCTTCTGAAATGTCATGATATGACATCCTTAAGGTCTGTTGATGATTATATAATATTTATTGCTGTTTAGGGCCAACAATTTCAAATGATACTTTATATTGAAATAAGACACTTACTGAATATTATTATTGTACTTCAAGTCTAATTTTAGTTCCAGAGAAGGCAGTGCTGTCTTAAAAGGTTCGGATAAGGTTTTTTCTCTTATTCCAGGAAGATCACTTAACAACAAATACTTGAGGTTTCTTAAGTGATATAAAGCAATGATGCCTTTGTCTTTGATAGTCCCACATGAAATTATTTCCATTTCCAATATGCTTTTTTGTAAATTTTCAAGTTTACCAAGTCTCTCCAAACAGTCATCCTCAATATAATGACACTCACATAGTCTTTTTTCAACATGCTGTAGGTCCTCCAGGTGATCAAATCCAATTCTCATGATACAAGAGTGGTGGCATCCATCGCC